TTTTCTTCAACAAGACTGCTGCTTCATTCAGGGCACAATGGACAAAGGGCAATTAATGAAGGGCCAGTCAATATTTTGCTCTGTCCTTTTTTTTTGTTCGGCGTGTGGCTCCAGGCATTCATTATTTGCTGCGTGCCATCAAATCCCTGCTCTTAGACAGAATACGTCATTTTCTCCTGGACTTTTCTCTCATGTGCATCAGTGCAGCAACCGTGGGCTTCCCACACAAGAAAGATTTTGTCTTCCAACACTCCTGTGAGCAGGGAGCCTGGGTTTTGCCTACAGGAAAATATGGTGCAGGCAGGAAATGCAGAACACTCCACTAGTGGGGCCCAGGGGGGATTTTTCAGGGTACCCACATTGTGTCTGTCCCAGTTCCCCTAACCTCAGCCAGAGCTGTAAGCACCCAGCTCATCCATAATTTGAACTCGACTGTGTCCAGAAAATTGCAAACATGGAACTGGTGGCTCTGGGCTGGAGCAGGGCTCTGCTGCACCATCAGTGAGCCAGAACAAAGAACAGAGCAATGCTGATATGGACAAAGGGCAGACTTCAGGCAGTGCAAGGTAACTGGCATTTGTGAATTTTTCAGCAAAATTCCATTTTCCTACCTTTCCCATTCTTTGTAACAGCTGTACTCTACTTTCTCTTAATCTCTTACAGATTTTTCACCTTTTACCAGAGATTTCAGTGGAGGACTTTTACCACTTTTGACCCAGGCGATCTTAACCTTTACTCTGGTACAAGTAGAAAGAGGTGAGTGTAGGACAGAGACTGAGTAGGAGGAAGAGCAGCATCAAAGTAAGCCCCACTCAAATGCTTCCCAATGAGAGCAGAATTTTCTGATCACTGAGCAGCTTGAGAAAGGGCAGTAACAAGAGGAGGGGAAAGGCATGAACCTTCATTGCCACCCAACAGCCCCTTTCTGCACCATGCTCTCCTGCTCTGTGCCCACTTAACCTGAGCTTAGAGACGTGTCTTTGTGTCCAGGGTGGACTTTCTTGATCCTTTCTGAAGCACGCCTAAGTGGCAGCGCTCTCTTCTCCAGCAGCTTCTGTAGGCAGCACAGGGGTCCCTTTTACACTGTTAGAAAGTCATGGGCTTACTGGCTTGGCACTCCAGAAAATATCCAGCGTTTTCAGCAAGGCTTTTAATTCATTAGCTCACAGGGGAAAATATCCTAACCTTCCTGCCCTCCCCAGCTGAGTCATTGATGCTTTCCTATCTTGCCGCAGACACATCACCTTCAGGAAAATAATTACTTAGCATGCTGATAACCACAGACATTATCCTTCTGAACTGAGCATTTGTTTGGGATCACAGAGTCTTCCCAGAGTGAGGACTGCAAGACACATTGGGGTTACTGTTTGAAACAAGTCCTGACCTCCTCGTGCAGGCTGTGGGAAACCTGTGTGGCCACTGGGCTGGGCTCCTGGGGGAAGGCTGAAGGTAGTTCAGCCAGAGGGAAGGGGCTGAAGGGTTCTGGGAGGGAAGGTGAATGGAAGAATAACCATGCTGGACAAGGAGGGAATAAAGAAAGAACTGTGTAAGAAATAAAGGCAGTGTTAAAACCCAACCTTTAAGCATTTAATTTGCATGTCTGACCTTTCTAGAGTCAGTGCACACTCCAGAGGTCTTTTGAGGGATCAAAGCTACTTGGGGACTTGAGGTTTGCACAGAGGTTCCTTTGGTTACGGAGGAAGCAGGAGCTTCTAAGCTTAGCGTCTGGGGCCTACAATGGTGAACTTCTCCTCTTGCTGATGGGGACATGTTGGGAAGAAACAGGATTATGCAGTGCAAGTTAGGTGCACCAAAGTTCACCAACCCTTCAGAGACCTCAAAGACCACCACTACCACAACGACGGGTTCAGCATGAATTTCTAGCAACCAACCACTGAGGGACAAAACATAGCACCCCTACTGCTCCCCCCCGCCAACTGGCAGGCTCAGCAAATACTTCAGGGCTCCAGCCCTAACTTCACTTTCATGGTGGCCTCGTGGGAAGTCAGTGGATCATGATGCCTGGGAGGGTGGTGAGCACAGTTCCACAGCGAGGAATTAAATCACAGAATCACTATGGTTGGAAAGGGCCTCTAGGATCATCGAGTCCAACCTTCATGCCAGCATTCCCCTAACCACTAGACCATAGCCTCAAGTGCCACATCTACTTGTTGTTCAAACCCCTCCAGGGATGATGACTCCACCACCTCCTTGGGCAGCCCATTCCAGTGTCCAACCACTCTCTCAGTGAAGAAATTCTTCCTAATATTCAATTAAAACCTCTCCTGGTGCAACTTGAGGCCATTTCCTCTCATCATATTATCAGTAATTTGGGAGAAGAGACCAACCCCAGCCTCACTAAAACCTCCTTTTAGGTAGTTGGCCCCGTCTACAGGTGACACCTGTCCCAGGGGCTTTTGTAGACAAGAGTAGGCAGAATTTAACAAGTCCAACCAACCAGCTGGGTTCACTTATAGGCACAGAAGTACCTTGTACAGATATAGCTGATTCTCTTTACCTTTTGAAATAAGCTCCACAACTATCCAGGACAGCAGAAGGTACCCGAGACCCAGCCTCAGTCTTGGTTCTGTAACCAGAACTGTTGCATCAGTTCTTGCCTGATATTTCTGACTCTCAGGACCATCTCTCCCTTTCTGTGCCTCAATTTCCTTCTCTGCACACAGTGACACCAACATAAACATTTCCTTCTTTAAGATCTTTCAGCCAGATGTGCTGTGGAAGTGTTGCAGGTTGTTGCTGTTTCAAGGGCTATCATTATAACACATTTTGGCTGCACCAGTTCCCTCAAACAGAATTGTTCTGCCTGTAGTAGGCCAGGACAAAGCAGCCAATTACTTGTCCCTCACACGTTTGTTAACTCTGCAGCTTTCTTTCAATGAGTATGTGGAATCTGGTAATGTTTTAATATATTTTCATAAACTGTGGGCACAACATGTCCTGTTTCCAGCTAATAACCACACCATATAATTAGTCCTGATTACACAGATATTTAGTATCATTTTACATATTCCAGTCCTTTCCTAGTGCCACTGCCTAGCCGAGACATATTTAAAACCACAGCCATCTCCCTTCCTTTTCCCAGCAGTTTGCAAGATTTTGTTTCGGACAGGTTTGCAGTTAACACGACAGCTTCAAAGAACAATTTAATTTCTTTGATGTACATTTTATATCTATCTATCTATCTATCTATCTATCTCCAAGCTCTGATCAAATGTCAGGTGACAAAGCCCAGGATACAAATAGAGGCATTTATCTACTTACATTGAAATGCCAGTATTTGAAAGCTATCAGGAAATTAAGAACATGAATCTTTAAAAATCTATTCCTTGAGCACTTGTTGGCTTTGGGCTGAACATTTAGCATATTTAGGATTTTAGTGCCAGGTAGCACTCCTCGAAGAAAAGTTCCCTCACCCCATTAGACCCCAGTGGGGGAAACGAGAAAAATTTGCTCTGTGCAACCTGATTATAGATGTGTATCTTTCCCTGCTGGTGTGACTGTCTCTATAGAGATGGACATGGGTATTTGATGAGATTAAAATGCTTCAGTTACCACTGTCAGTGGCTCTTTAATTTAAAATGAAGAAAGCAAACAAACATTCCTTTTGATGAGGTAACCGAATGATGCTACAGAAAAGCACTTTGCTGTCAGCTGGTAATTAGGTTCAGTAATAGTTGTGGGTTTTTAGCCTTGGAGGCTGTGGCCCCTGGGAGTCTGGGAGAAATGATACATTCAATTTCCAGAGGAGAGGAAGATGCTGGATGCTTTTCTCCGCTAACCCTGCAGATAAGAGCATTCAGAACTGCAGCGCTGACAATCCTCCTTGAGCCAGCCTAAACTCTTATGTCAAGATCACGAACAGAGAAAGAGAGATGGACTCAAAGCAGGGCATTTAAACATCTAACACAGTCAGGCTGGCTCTGACCACATATCTAAGGAACTGCCAGAATAGCCGCACTAGAGATTTTTTGAAAGGCTGCAGAAGGAACTCCAGCAATTGCTCTACAGTCTGGGCTGACATTTATAACATCCAACTTATGCATTGCTATGAAGTAGTCTCCTACTTTCAGTAGGAAAATGTTCCTTGGCAAACAAGCAGCTGTGTCCATAGGTACATTTTTAAAAGGGGGAAAATGTGGGGAAAAGAAGGGAGTGAATTTCAAGACTCGGCTGCTCTTCTCCCCTCCTCACACTATTACACAGCTTTGGCTGTTGAAGGAATGATGGTTCTCAACAACCCTGTTCAGTGGTATCTCCCATGCTCCTCACAAGCTCAGAGACACTGAAAGGACACCAGCTGGACAACACCAGACAGAGAGCCAGCACCACCACAGGGATTCAAGCTCGGGCATTTCAAACCTCCTGTTTGCGCCTTTGTGCTTGCTCACCAGCACATTACTTCACATCTAAAACTAATTCCTTTTGGAGAAACATCCACTCTACTGGTTGCAAAGCTAGAGTAAGGACTTATGGCAAGAGTGGCACCCCAGATAAAGGGTACCTGATGGAATGGCAGAAGGAACCTACCATCTGGCTGCCAGCACTGTGACAGTTGCGAGGGGAGATGGAGAATCCTGCCTTTACCACAGGCTTGCCAGTAATTTCCTGAAGCACTGAAAAAGTTTTCACTTCCAGAATTAAAACTTTTCAAAACAAAGTGGGTCTGATTCTCCTCTCACTCACAGGAGATAAATGAAGGGTAAGCCCATTAAAGATACTGGTGTGAGATTGGTGCACAGCAGACAGAATTCAGGAAAGATATCGATATCTCCAAAATCCTCTGAATATATTTTCAGACATAAACCATGTATCTTTCCTGATCATAAATGCTTTATTTCCAAATGGAATTTCAATAAAATAAGCACAGTTAGACTAGCACGCTTATTATAAAGCCATAATGCAGTAGGACTGGGGTTTAGTCATGAAAAGTATTAAAAAAGCAGCCCTGCTAAAGCAAAAGAAATTGCTTTCCAACTTACCGAGTTTTAGGAGTAGGCACTAGTGGTCTCTCCACCAAGGAGTTCAGCCTGTAGTAATCCAAGAACGTCCTGGCCACATTTCTTCCGAGCTTCATATCTGTGAGTTTTTAATTAAGGAGCATTTTGAAAAAAAAAAAAAAATTAAAAAAAACCCCCACACTACTAATAAAAAAGTGGAATCTAAATGTAAATTACTGCTATTTGATGCATGAGCAAGTTTTACATTAGCCATCCCACAGTGCCCAGGCTTCAGGCAAAGTGACTTATGCAAGCAGATAAAGTGGGGGTCATCTTGTTTGCTTCTTGTTTTCACAGAAAACAAGTTCTTCTGCATAAAACCAAAGGAGAAAACAATCTCCCTTTTCCCCACACCTGGTTGCAGCTCCCCGTGGTGGTGATGAAGTCATATGCTAGGCAAAATGGGCCTTCCAATTTCCACGTTCAGGAAAAATGATTACCTAAGAATGCTTGGATACAGGCAGTATTTCTCTGCTTGTATCCAGGAAACGAGGTCAACGATATCATGGTATGAACGAGCCATAGACTGGTGTACAGACTCAAGGTTGGGACTAAAGCTGTAGCCCTCCAAACTTTTAGCACTGACCCCCACAGTGTCCTGGGAGAATATGCTGTTCTTTAACTGTGTTGTATTCAGGGCCTGAAATGGTGATTTTAGCAGTGAATGGGTAGGACTGTAGGTTACATTAAGGAGGTCAGCAGTAACTCTGGAGGCTCCTCACTAACCACGATTGCTCCATCAGCTAACCCCGAGCCCAACACTGCTGCCCATCAGAGCTGCCACAGAGACCTTGCAGACCCAGGAACCAGACCCCCCAGCTGCCTAAGAAGCATCTGAGTAACCTGTAAATGCATTGAAAAATAATATCCTGGACAATATGTCCATATGGTGAAGCTCCTGCTTTTGTAGAAAGTTCAGCACTAGGTCTGCCTGTTACAGAGCAGTGCTAGCTTATCATCCAGAAGGTGATGTCCAGCTGGGAAAAGTGCAGTCCGTGTCATAGTCCACTGCTGTGTTATGGGGCTCAAGGACTCCTTTAGTTGCCTGTTTTGAACTGATGCCTACCCATGCTACAATTACCACATACTTCTCCAGGGCACTGCCCCAAATGATCATTGCAGTGACCATTTCAGGAATGCTGATCAGCAGCTGAGGTAGGTCCATAACCGGGGGAATCTAAACACACCTCTGCATCTGAGTAGAGCAGGACAATAAAGCCTTGCTGGGTTGGTCTGTGTGCACGCATGCATGTTCTGCTTTATCAATAGTTATCTGCTGATGTTTTCATTAAAGGAAAATTCCAGAAGTGCAGCATCCCAGGGGCTTCCAGCAGCGCCTGTGAAGATGCTAGCTTCTAAATGAAGCTTTTATTACCCGCCCACTTACATTAGATGCATCAAAACAAGTGAGCGTGAGACATCAGGTTCACGCATCACTGTGAGATCTCCATTTACCATTTATTTATTTATTTAAAGGGGAGGTCGAACTGATGTGACTCAGACTTCAGCTCTTGTTCAGCAAAAAGCCAGCCACCAGCTCTGCTAGCCCTGCAATCAAGCCCAGCTGTGGTGCCTGAAGATGACTTCTGACACTGCTTTTCTCCCCAGAGATGTAGTCCTACTTTTCCTGTCCCCACTGCTGTGCCTGGGGATGGTTACATGGATCTATCCCCTTCTGTTTCAGAGTCTTACTGCGATCCTAACACCATATGTGCTGCGGGCATCTATATTCTTCTGCTCAACAGTACAGCACAGCCTGAACAGCTGGTGTTCACGGCTGTTGCCTGTGTGGACAGGGATAGTTGGTTGTGTGAAGCAGCACCGGCTGTTCCCTGGCTGCTGCAGTACCCAGCGAGCTCCCCCACAGCCTGCCAGAGCTGATGGACAACGCTAACCATGCGTGCGTGGAGGCTCAGAAAGTTAGAGACAGCTTCAGGTTTATCAGTTTGGGGGAGGGCATTGCTGTTTGGAGAGCGATTTGTGATTGCTGCTGGAATTTGGGGATGGCTGAGGGGAGTTTGGTTTCTGCAGATGTGAACTCAAAGCAGTGGCAAAGGTTAAGAGTTCAAAGTGAGAAAGAAGGGGAAAGGGCTGTCAAGCATTTAAGGGATTGAGAAGACTAACATGGCTTGATCTTGTAGTTTCTTTCATTTACTCAGCACTTTAAAGAGATAAAGTGGTAACTGGACTTGGTAAAGTCTCTAGGACATTTTGTCAGTGCCAATCTCAGAAGGCTCCTATGCTAGAAATGGCCCTGCTGCCCTTTTCTTTGTCTGTCTACATTGCTTATGTTTACAGGATGGGAAACACCTGACCTGCTGTCTGGAAGCCCATAGATGAGAGTGGGTACAGTGAAGGATGTGGCTACACAAGCTCCTCTGTGGTGCCTTACAACTCTGCCTTAACGGTAACCTGGAGGAATCCAGTTCTACTGCTGAACTTAGGTCTTAGGAACAGTCTTCTAAAGGTGAGGACAGTTAACCACTGAAATAACCTGACTTAGCACATCTGGAAATCTCCAGACCAGAGGTCTTCAAGAACGAGTTGAACCCACAGCAGATACAAACGGTTTAAGTCTAACTGGTCCTGCATGAAATTCAGAAAAGGAAGTATAGAAGGGCCTATAAGGCCACTTCACCCTATTTTTTCTACAGTTCTTAACATCTCTTGCAGCTCACACAAACTTCCTGTTTGCTGAGATTTCCAGGAAAGGTAAAGGCATTTTGTGAAGCATGGACACGCAGGTAGATGGATACCGTGAAGAAACTGGAAATGCAAACATGTGCTACATGCAGCTCCCAAAAAGTCACCTTGCAGTCAGCATTGATGGAAAGAGACTCAAACCAGCATGGGATAAAAAATGTGCGTGTTCTGATACTAGTTTCTCAAGCTGTCCTACCACCTCTGCTCTCCCTGCTGCCTCCACAAAGGATGGATGGTTTCTATAATGGAAATCAGGCAGCTGATCCATAAACCCAGAAACAGCACTAAATCTCTCCCAGCGATTGCCTAGACTGGGCAAGGGTCAGCCTGACCCACCCAGCGAGTGCAGGCAGCAAGCATGTGCAGAACCCATGGAGAAAAACAAATCAGAGCAATAACATTTGCACTTATTTCAGGAGCATGGAAACCCCAGACTCCCCTGTGGCCTACAGTATCTTGTGAGCACAGAAATTACTGCAGCTGCAGCCAGAACCTGCTTTTGGTCAGCGGTTTGGTTTTTAAGCAGCATTCTTTCTGCAGTCACACATGCTGTGCTTTGGTCCACAGGAACTCCCTACCTAGCTGGAATGGCACTTGGTAGAAGGACATTTCCCAGCTATTCCCATCACGGGAGCTCAGCTCATATGAAACAGTAGAAGTCCATTTGGGACAGTCATGGTGGAAACACCTGGGTGAATCTTCACCTTTACTAGCATCTGCAGTTCCCTTTCCTTGCCCTTCCTCCTCCATAGACTTGTTCCTCCATGCTCCACATTTCTACCTGGAATTGAAAACCAATGTGCCCAAGGCACCTCCTGCAAATGCCCTTCTCACAGCATTCACTCTTTAACTGGCATCAGCGGTTTATGGGGAGATTTCAGGACAGTCTGTTTACACCTAACTCTGCCAAATTTCACAGATGTTAGGGAGTTCAAGAATCGCGTTAGACTCTGCAAAATTCCCCTGCATTTATGATCCCTATCATGCTTCCCACCCTAAAGATTCCAGCTCTGGTGAGGAAGGAGGACGGAGGAATGGGGAATCTCATAAGCCATTATTAATTTTCAAGATTCATCAATACTATCATTAACAGTCTGCTTAAAGCTGGAGCCTCTAGAAGCACAGACGCAGCCTTGTTCTGTCAGTGCATGGAGGCAATAAAAATCTCAATTTGGAAACCAGTTAGCAGTACAAGTCGTTAGGGGAAGTACTAAATGTTGCTGCTTTAATAGCTCACTGATCATTTAATAATGTCACTGCTGCAGAGCATGGTGGCACCATTCGCTCTGTGTTGTTTTGCTTTTTGAAATTCAGGGTCATTCCACTTTCAAGTGAGTGGATTAGCTCTCTTTCCCCCTTTTGCCAGACACTGTAAACTGCTTTAAATAATTAGAAAGAGGATGGTTTCTTCAAGCTCACTGCCTTATTTTCGTAAGGTCTGGTGTCATTGCTTTGGAACAGGAAGAGAAGCTGTGGTGGTGGTAAGAATTTGACAAGGGCAAAACAGTTAGCAGCCCCAGTCACCTTTGATAAGTCCTGTGGGGTCTCTGCCAAGCAGATTGGATCTCTGTTTTTATGTCTCATCTAGAAGATGGCACCTCCATCAATTTGAAACACTGTGCTGGGTTATTAGCTTATTGAATTCATCCAAGTTTAGTCCTAGACAGGGTTTGAAATCATGACCATTCAACCCAGAGGCACCACTGACCATCCCCATGCAAGTCTTTTGTTTCAGATAAACTGCTTTAAGTTATCCTAATGTCAGACAGAGGGGAAGAAAAGAAAAATAGGGGAGGGAGAAAGAAGACAAGGAAAATGTGACACAAAGAGAAAGATGAATCTTTTTAATAGCCCAAATCAAAAAACAGAAGAAGCCCTTTGTTAACAAAACTGAATTCTACCGCAAATCTCAGTCCACCACCACAACAATCCTGTTATTTATGAAAAGAGGGTTATTTTGTGTGGGTAAGTCCCAGCTGACTGTGGTCAGTGAGCATACTGTCAGCTTTGTGCAATCTCAAGAGAAATATGGATGAGGTTTTTCTCATCTGTTTATAACAGCTTCCATCAATGGATCAAACCCCTTTCTGACTTGAACAAGAGCTCTAATGGAAAATGGCATTACACGGCTTTAAACCACTGTGTTGTATCATGCCTGGCCCAATCAGAACTAGTCCTCTATTTTAGCAGAGCTGTTTTCACCAGTTACTTGTTTTGTTTCACAGGGCTGACACTATTCTCTAATGAATAAGAGATGCTGCCAGTACCACATCTAACTGGGGGTCCCTTTTCATGCAAAGCGTATTTGGGGCAATATAGTTGGTGGCAGGAGCGGCTGAGGGGGAGAGGGGCTATTTTGTGGCTTTCCACTAGCAT